GTGGGTAAACAAATATCTTTGTTACAAACATAAGCATTAGACAGTTTATAATTAACCGTGAGTTTATCTCCTCCAGCTTGTGTAAGAGACTGAGTAGTTTTATCAAAATACTTAGTGGGGATAATTCCTTCTTGAAGGCAATTTAAATCAGCGCCACTATCAATAAGGGCAACTTCATTTTCTAGAATGAAATTTCTATTAATGACTAAAGTTATTCTAACAAACCATTTTTGAGAGGTCACTCTATCAATGAGAGAAAGGAAATCATTACTAGGTGAAGGATTACTAGTTGAAGCTATTTCTTCAACCTTTAAGTTATTGGATTCTAAAAAAGTGACTCTTTGAGATAAACCATAGTTTTCTTTTTTAATCTGAGATATCTCATTTTTTAAGAGATTTATTTCTCTATTTAAATCCATAATAGAAACGGGAGTTTCACGGATGTTAGACTGTCTAAATCTAGACAAAACCTCACTTAATTGGTAAGGTGCTTCTGTAATAACAGGAGATTCTTTTTTAGAGTTTTCTTGAATTAGAACCTCAAGCATTTTTCTTTTAAGATATTTATCAGAAATGGACTCTATAGCCTTTATAGCTTCATCCTGTTCTGAGGTTAAAACATTTAACCCATTCATATCAACTATTGATTTCCAGTAATCTAATTGATTGCATTGACAATTATTATTGTTAGAAGATTCAGAAGAGCAATCAGAAGAAGATTCATAAATCATATTAATATCTTCTTCAGAAGAGTAATCCTCAGAATCAGAATTGAGAAGTAAGACTTTCTCTAATTGAGAACGTAATTGTTCATCTTCTATTTCATTAAGGGCCTTTTTAGTCCAGCATTGGTTGGCATAATGGCCAGGTTTGCCACATTTATGACATGTTATGTCAAGCTTTTTGGCTTTTCTTTTACCTTTAGGGTCAAAAGATTTTTCTTTAGGTCTACCCTTATTGTAGTGACCCCTTTTCTTATTCCTATAAGAATTTTTATAAGAATTTTTTGGCTTATCCCTATAAGGTTTATTGCGGAAAATTTTTCCTTTTTTCTTTTTATTATCTGGAGATTTTCCAAGATCAAAAGCAAATTGTTCGCAAAACTCACCAAGTTGGTGTTTCTCAGAAAGTTTTTGCTTTTTAAGTTGATTTCTAAGCTTTATGTCATTACATAAAGTTAATCCTTCATTAACACAAGTACTAATTATTTGACCATAAGTAAGGTCAGAATAATTTATATTTATTCCATCATTTTTTTGTCTTAAAGATTGTCTAACCTTTTCAGAAAAGAAATGGGGTAATCCATCAATAAATTTTGATTTCCAGTGCAAAGAATTGGGATTGTTTAATTGATAAACTCTTGAAAGAAAAGTATCCTTATACCATCTAAAGTGGGTAAGAGAAGGACACCTAAGGTTTTGGAGAAGTGTCTGGATTTTTTCTCCAATGGGGACATTGGTTCCTACAAAATGTTGTAAGATGGAAAGACACAATGTATACACTGCATCTTCTTCTCCAGTGGTGGTCGTAGCCACAATAGTGCTTGTACTAGTTCTTGGTTCGCTTTTAACGATTTTTTTGTGATTAAGAATCTCTAATTTTTGAGATTCAGTGAGATAATGATCCCACCAGCCTCTAAGTTGGCCAACAAATCCTGTTGTTATAAAGGACGCTATTGAACTATCAGAATTACCATGTTGCTTACAAACAGTAGAGTACATGATCATCCTATGGATTGTATCTATAATTTGTTTGTCATTTAGACCATCAATATTCCATTCATAAATGGCTTTTCCTGAATAAGAATTCTGGAAAGGTTCTGATTCTTCAAAAAGCAAATCTTGCGGTGAGGGACGCTTGTAATAATACTTTTCTATAGGTCTTGGGGAATAAACCGGGTTTATACTAGTTGTATTATTAATACTATTAGTATTATTAATATCAAGGTTACTAATGTCTAAATTAGCAAACATATCAGAAAGCTGGTCAATATGGTTATCATTATTATCCTCAGAATAATCTTCATGGGACATGACGGTGATATTAAGTCCTTTTAATTTTTGTTCTAAAATACGAACAAATTCTTCTCCATTGGTTTCCATTTTAAATCCTTCTATAGAAACAGGAGGTTGCACTATAGGAACATCCGAAATAGTGGATGTGGATATTTGGTCTTTAGGTTTAGTTATATGGTCAATGATGATATTTTGACGCTCTATTTGTTTTTCTAAGAGATCTTTTATGGATAAGAGATCTTTTTCCATGGAGATTAATTGTTCTCCTAAACATACAAGGTAGGCATTGGTATAATTTTGAGACCTGATGACAGAATTTAATTCTTTAAGAGTAACTTGACTTTGTTCAACTCTTTGTAACTAAAGGCTAAGGAAAGGGGTAGCTTCAGTATTTTGGCTCAAACTTATTGTTTGTTCAGGGGGAAAAGGAGATTCTATTTTTTCTCCTCTAATGTTTTCCCAAGGTCTTTGCAACACAAGAATTTCTTCTTGCTTTTTATTTATGAAATAATTAACAAACCATTTAACAAAAGGAACGAAATCCTGCTCAAGGTTCATTTGAGTGTAATACTCATCTTTGAATTGAGCTAACTCAGGTTCTGAAAATTTTTTAAAAAACCAATTTCTAAATTGAGAGTATCTCTCATGTTGAAACTCATCATTGACGAGTTGTCTCATCTTACTACCAGGGGAGTAATCTATCATTATAATTGGAAATCCATATCTGACTGAGTAGGTGATTCTACTCTTGGAGTATGAGGTTTTTGATAAATTCCATGGGGAACTCTATTTTCGTTTAGTCTTATATTTTCAACGACCTCTATTTCTTCTCTTGTTTGAGAAGTAGAAGGTCTATTTAATTGGCTAGGAGCTGTGTAAAATTCACTTACTGAGTGCCTAGCAGATAGAGACCTAGGTATTCTAGTTATTCTTTTTGAACTGAAGTTTATTTCCAAATCTCCTTCAGTAGTCTGAATAATTTGGTCTATATCCCTATTAAGGATAGGTTCAGGATCTATTTCCTGGGGGAGAGACCATGTCTCTGGGAAGTTTATTTCATCCCACTTTATTAACCTATTGGTTGCAACATTGGATGTTAATAAATTTGTTTGAACCAAAGTTGTTGTTCCAGGAAAAGATAAATGTTTTGCTCTAGGATTAAGCGTAGTAAGAACCTTATAGTAGATCCTATAGCATATTGCTATGATTTCACTTCCAGGTTTAAAATTGTAACCATTAGTATGAACTGTTAATTGCATAGCATCTAATAAATTTTTATCAGATAAAGATAGAGTCAAATTAGGTGAGACATCAAAGTACACTGGTCCATGACACAAACTTGTCTCAACCATAGCAGCTAAAGATTGTTTGAAATCTTTACATCTACCATCTCTAACATAGGCCATTATGCTAGAATTTAAACCCAATAATGTTAAAGGTTTTAAGGCTATTTGAACCAATCCAATATGGATAAAATTATAATTTTTAAAAGGTTTCAAGTCCTTTTTAGTTAATAGTTTTATTGTCTGAGTTTCTTTAGAAATTTGGATCGTTTGCTCTAAAGTTTTAACAGCAAAACGAGAAAAAACATCTATCTTACCAAATCTATAAATTTGATTAGAAGGAACTGAGGGTATAACCCATCTGTTGAGTTTATCCATATTTTTTGGATATTCAATTAATTCTTCATTTTTTATTAAATTGTTTTGATGATTATCATCATCAGAATCCATAAGGAAACAGGCTAAGAACGTTGTGATTGGTTGATATACAAAGGTAAATTTAAATAGATAACTTGGACTCATAACATAATATTAACCGAAATAACAACCAATAAAAGCCATCTAGGCAAACAACAAATTGTTTAACTATCAACCCAAAGGGATAGAAGGATTTCTCCTAAATCCCAGATGTCAAAATGTTTTTAGCAAAAATTTTCTTTTTTGAAATCATCAACAACTCCCTACCCCTGGGAAAAAGATGAACTTAACAGAAAACACTAAAAACATTTTTTGTTTTTGAAAACACTTTAAAAGGTTGTTTGATTCCTGTTAATAAAAGATTATGAGAAAAAGTTACTTACTTAGTTTTATCTAAGTATAATCAACCTCTCACAACATATATTTAGCCACTAACTTTCATAATAAATTTGTAAAGAAGAATAATACCTCAGATTGTATAGACAACTTTGTATTTTCATAATAAATCATGTATATTGATGATGAAGATATGAAGATAAATCCAAATGATGGATGGTCTATAAAAACTAGATACCTCGAATCAAGAGGATATCCAGGTCTTCATGGAAAATCTAGGCCCAACCTAGAAATTCTCCTGACTGTTACCGAATCGGTAACAATTACTCACCATTACCAGAACAATAATCCTGAAAGTTTCATAAACTTCAGTAAATGTCACATTAACAAAATTTTGTTACCAAGAGAATGGGGTCTCAATCCAAATGCCGAAAAAGCAATAAGAATTGCAGAAGGAAAATATATTTACTTTAATTATTGGGACTATGTCCAAGCTTTCACTCAAGCCTTTTATTACCAAAATCCCAAGAACAAACATTCTTGGTTTTTCTCTATTAATCAAGAGATGGTTGATAAACCTATACCAAATTGGTTTTATGAATGGTGGGCTAAATTTGGTCCATCTTTGGAAATTCTTCCAAAAGAAATTCTTAACCTATACAATCCATGGTGTGATAATAGTCCACTAATTGTAAAAATTTTATCTGACAATTTAATCACTGGACAATGTCCATTCTTGTTTTTTACTAAATTTCAAATTCCATGGATATGGAGATGGTCAATCACCATTTCAAAAAACAAATTCAACATACCCATTTTAGAAAGAAATTTCTTCTATAAATGGTGGAACAAGATGAGTTCAGAAGACATTCAGAATAAAATAAAATTAATTGAAGAATCTATATCTGAAGACCAGAATAATAAGGTCAAAGAGGAAAGCTCCCAACAAATGTCTATGGAGAACTTGAAGAACTTCTTCAAGAGGAAATATCCCAATGAACCAGAAGATGAAATCATGGTGAGAATCTTAGATCATATGAAGAACCAATTCTTCTCTACTTTTCCAACCAAAGCATCAAAAGATGAGGACTCATCTATGAAGACAAGCTCTTCCATGGGATCAATGGATTCCCATAATTTTGATGGTTTAGCAGGAGAAGGTCAAGAAGATGAAGCTTCTGCAGAAGATTTTTGGGATGCAATGATTCAATCTTTGATAGCAAAGGGAAAAGCAAAGAAATAAATCTTGGCTAGAAATATTGGAATAAGAATCTTTACAAATTTATTATGAAAGTTAGTGGCTAAATATATGTTGTGAGAGGTTGATTATACTTAGATAAAACTAAGTAAGTAACTTTTTCTCATAATCTTTTATTAACAGGAATCAAACAACCTTTTAAAGTGTTTTCAAAAACAAAAAATGTTTTTAGTGTTTTCTGTTAAGTTCATCTTTTTCCCAGGGGTAGGGAGTTGTTGATGATTTCAAAAAAGAAAATTTTTGCTAAAAACATTTTGACATCTGGGATTTAGGAGAAATCCTTCTATCCCTTTGGGTTGATAGTTAAACAATTTGTTGTTTGCCTAGATGGCTTTTATTGGTTGTTATTTCGGTTAATATTATGTTATGAGTCCAAGTTATCTATTTAGATTTACCTTTGTATATCAACCAATCACAACGTTCTTAGCCTGTTTCCTTATGGATTCTGATGATGATAATCATCAAAACAATTTAATAAAAAATGAAGAATTAATTGAATATCCAAAAAATATGGATAAACTCAACAGATGGGTTATACCCTCAGTTCCTTCTAATCAAATTTATAGATTTGGTAAGATAGATGTTTTTTCTCGTTTTGCTGTTAAAACTTTAGAGCAAACGATCCAAATTTCTAAAGAAACTCAGACCATAAAACTATTAACTAAAAAGGACTTGAAACCTTTTAAAAATTATAATTTTATCCATATTGGATTGGTTCAAATAGCCTTAAAACCTTTAACATTATTGGGTTTAAATTCTAGCATAATGGCCTATGTTAGAGATGGTAGATGTAAAGATTTCAAACAATCTTTAGCTGCTATGGTTGAGACAAGTTTGTGTCATGGACCAGTGTACTTTGATGTCTCACCTAATTTGACTCTATCTTTATCTGATAAAAATTTATTAGATGCTATGCAATTAACAGTTCATACTAATGGTTACAATTTTAAACCTGGAAGTGAAATCATAGCAATATGCTATAGGATCTACTATAAGGTTCTTACTACGCTTAATCCTAGAGCAAAACATTTATCTTTTCCTGGAACAACAACTTTGGTTCAAACAAATTTATTAACATCCAATGTTGCAACCAATAGGTTAATAAAGTGGGATGAAATAAACTTCCCAGAGACATGGTCTCTCCCCCAGGAAATAGATCCTGAACCTATCCTTAATAGGGATATAGACCAAATTATTCAGACTACTGAAGGAGATTTGGAAATAAACTTCAGTTCAAAAAGAATAACTAGAATACCTAGGTCTCTATCTGCTAGGCACTCAGTAAGTGAATTTTACACAGCTCCTAGCCAATTAAATAGACCTTCTACTTCTCAAACAAGAGAAGAAATAGAGGTCGTTGAAAATATAAGACTAAGCGAAAATAGAGTTCCCCATGGAATTTATCAAAAACCTCATACTCCAAGAGTAGAATCACCTACTCAGTCAGATATGGATTTCCAATTATAATGATAGATTACTCCCCTAGTAGTAAGATGAGACAACTCGTCAATGATGAGTTTCAACATGAGAGATACTCTCAATTTAGAAATTGGTTTTTTAAAAAATTTTCAGAACCTGAGTTAGCTCAATTCAAAGATGAGTATTACACTCAAATGAACCTTGAGCAGGATTTCGTTCCTTTTGTTAAATGGTTTGTTAATTATTTCATAAATAAAAAGCAAGAAGAAATTCTTGTGTTGCAAAGACCTTGGGAAAACATTAGAGGAGAAAAAATAGAATCTCCTTTTCCCCCTGAACAAACAATAAGTTTGAGCCAAAATACTGAAGCTACCCCTTTCCTTAGCCTTCAGTTACAAAGAGTTGAACAAAGTCAAGTTACTCTTAAAGAATTAAATTCTGTCATCAGGTCTCAAAATTATACCAATGCCTACCTTGTATGTTTAGGAGAACAATTAATCTCCATGGAAAAAGATCTCTTATCCATAAAAGATCTCTTAGAAAAACAAATAGAGCGTCAAAATATCATCATTGACCATATAACTAAACCTAAAGACCAAATATCCACATCCACTATTTCGGATGTTCCTATAGTGCAACCTCCTGTTTCTATAGAAGGATTTAAAATGGAAACCAATGGAGAAGAATTTGTTCGTATTTTAGAACAAAAATTAAAAGGACTTAATATCACCGTCATGTCCCATGAAGATTATTCTGAGGATAATAATGATAACCATATTGACCAGCTTTCTGATATGTTTGCTAATTTAGACATTAGTAACCTTGATATTAATAATACTAATAGTATTAATAATACTACTAGTATAAACCCGGTTTATTCCCCAAGACCTATAGAAAAGTATTATTACAAGCGTCCCTCACCGCAAGATTTGCTTTTTGAAGAATCAGAACCTTTCCAGAATTCTTATTCAGGAAAAGCCATTTATGAATGGAATATTGATGGTCTAAATGACAAACAAATTATAGATACAATCCATAGGATGATCATGTACTCTACTGTTTGTAAGCAACATGGTAATTCTGATAGTTCAATAGCGTCCTTTATAACAACAGGATTTGTTGGCCAACTTAGAGGCTGGTGGGATCATTATCTCACTGAATCTCAAAAATTAGAGATTCTTAATCACAAAAAAATCGTTAAAAGCGAACCAAGAACTAGTACAAGCACTATTGTGGCTACGACCACCACTGGAGAAGAAGATGCAGTGTATACATTGTGTCTTTCCATCTTACAACATTTTGTAGGAACCAATGTCCCCATTGGAGAAAAAATCCAGACACTTCTCCAAAACCTTAGGTGTCCTTCTCTTACCCACTTTAGATGGTATAAGGATACTTTTCTTTCAAGAGTTTATCAATTAAACAATCCCAATTCTTTGCACTGGAAATCAAAATTTATTGATGGATTACCCCATTTCTTTTCTGAAAAGGTTAGACAATCTTTAAGACAAAAAAATGATGGAATAAATATAAATTATTCTGACCTTACTTATGGTCAAATAATTAGTACTTGTGTTAATGAAGGATTAACTTTATGTAATGACATAAAGCTTAGAAATCAACTTAAAAAGCAAAAACTTTCTGAGAAACACCAACTTGGTGAGTTTTGCGAACAATTTGCTTTTGATCTTGGAAAATCTCCAGATAATAAAAAGAAAAAAGGAAAAATTTTCCGCAATAAACCTTATAGGGATAAGCCAAAAAATTCTTATAAAAATTCTTATAGGAATAAGAAAAGGGGTCACTACAATAAGGGTAGACCTAAAGAAAAATCTTTTGACCCTAAAGGTAAAAGAAAAGCCAAAAAGCTTGACATAACATGTCATAAATGTGGCAAACCTGGCCATTATGCCAACCAATGCTGGACTAAAAAGGCCCTTAATGAAATAGAAGATGAACAATTACGTTCTCAATTAGAGAAAGTCTTACTTCTCAATTCTGATTCTGAGGATTACTCTTCTGAAGAAGATATTAATATGATTTATGAATCTTCTTCTGATTGCTCTTCTGAATCTTCTAACAATAATAATTGTCAATGCAATCAATTAGATTACTGGAAATCAATAGTTGATATGAATGGGTTAAATGTTTTAACCTCAGAACAGGATGAAGCTATAAAGGCTATAGAGTCCATTTCTGATAAATATCTTAAAAGAAAAATGCTTGAGGTTCTAATTCAAGAAAACTCTAAAAAAGAATCTCCTGTTATTACAGAAGCACCTTACCAATTAAGTGAGGTTTTGTCTAGATTTAGACAGTCTAACATCCGTGAAACTCCCGTTTCTATTATGGATTTAAATAGAGAAATAAATCTCTTAAAAAATGAGATATCTCAGATTAAAAAAGAAAACTATGGTTTATCTCAAAGAGTCACTTTTTTAGAATCCAATAACTTAAAGGTTGAAGAAATAGCTTCAACTAGTAATCCTTCACCTAGTAATGATTTCCTTTCTCTCATTGATAGAGTGACCTCTCAAAAATGGTTTGTTAGAATAACTTTAGTCATTAATAGAAATTTCATTCTAGAAAATGAAGTTGCCCTTATTGATAGTGGCGCTGATTTAAATTGCCTTCAAGAAGGAATTATCCCCACTAAGTATTTTGATAAAACTACTCAGTCTCTTACACAAGCTGGAGGAGATAAACTCACGGTTAATTATAAACTGTCTAATGCTTATGTTTGTAACAAAGATATTTGTTTACCCACTCACTTTATTCTTGTGAAAAACTTAACTCATAGAATTATATTAGGAACTCCCTTTCTGCATAAAATTATGCCTCTAATTAATGTTGATCAAAAGGGAATTACCTCCATTATTAATAATAAAAGAATTACTTTTGAATTTATTACTGATCCTCATACTAGGATGATTAATGAAGTCAAAGATATTCTTCTTAAAAAAGAAAAACAAATTTGTTTTCTTAAAGAAGAAGTGAGTTTGTTAAACATCACTACTCAACTTCAAAATCCTGAAATTCAAAATCAAATTAAATTAATTGATCAACAATTTAGAGAAGAAATATGCAATGATTTACCTAATGCCTTTTGGGATAGAAAGAAACATGTTATTTCCTTACCTTATCTTGATGACTTTAATGAAAGTCAGATTCCTACTAAAGCTAGGCCTGCTCAAATGAATCATGAGTATTTGGATTTATGTAAAAAGGAGATAGAATCTCTTTTAGAGAAAAAATTAATAAGAAAATCCAAATCTCCTTGGAGTTGTACAGCCTTTTATGTTAATAATGCTGCAGAAAAGGAACGTGGAGTCCCTAGACTCGTCATTAATTACAAACCACTTAATAAAGTGTTAAAATGGATTAGATATCCTATTCCTAATAAAAAAGATCTTTTGGATAGATTAAACAATGCTTTAATCTTCTCTAAATTTGATATGAAATCTGGTTATTGGCAAATTCAGATTAATGAATCTGACAAATATAAAACAGCCTTTACCGTACCTTTTGGACATTATGAATGGAATGTCCTTCCTTTTGGTCTTAAA